GTTTTTTTATTTTAACTTGCAGGAAGCACAGGCTTATGCAGATGACAACAGCTTATTGTTCATGGAGACGTCTGCCAAAACATCTATGAACGTAAATGAAATATTCATGGCAATTGGTGAGTTTCTGAACAAACTAAGAACTTAAAAAGAATTTTTTTCATGAGATGCAGACCATTGCAATCTTCCTAACCCAAGGTCTTCGTTTGTAACCTGAATTATTTCTGGCACTGAAGTTTCTTTAGGACCTTTTATTTGTTTAATTTTGTTTAGGTAGCTGTCTGAAATCCAGAAGTTGTGCCAAAGATGGCTATGTGTGCTTAAATTCACTGTCCAAGTAATATGTAAAGGATGCCACATATGAAAAGTAAATTTACTAATAATTTTTAGACCTAACATAATCTTAAGGATTTCTGTAAAGTTGCCAGTGTATACTAGTAAGTATAAATTATTAAGAAATTTTGTGTATTCCATTGTTATAACCACAATTGTGTTTAATTTTTGATAAACTTTTGAAAGGGGAGGAAAAAGAATACATTTTAGGCTGGTCACTAACCTGTTAAATAATAACCTTAATCACAGTAGGAGCTCTGCTGCTCAGTAATAGTAATGTATAGCATCAAATAATCTCATTAAACTGTTTTGTATGTTGCACCACGGTGACCTCTCCAACCTGCTTTTTGTGGAAAAAAGTCATTGCTGTTAAAATTAAATGTTTCTAAAGAGCTCTTACCCTCTGCTTTTCAAGTCAGGAAAGCAGAAGATAATTTGTGGTGTGCTTCAAACTTCCAGTAGATGCGAATTAAATTATCACTATAGCAACACTTTATAACAAGTACTTCCTTCATATTAACTATAAATACTTGGGGAGGGGGGACGGACACAAACACGTAACTGTATGAGAGGAAAGTATATTCTTCTTATAATTGTTCAAGATAGGCCTGCATTTAATGATACAGAAATGCTCAATTGCACCATTCTGGTGAAATTTCAGAATTAATGTGTTTAATGATGCAGTTTGCATCCTGTACCAAATATGTTTGGTTTTTTAATTTGGTATATCAACAATAATTCTTACCTCTCCGTATTTTAATGAAGTATACAAAGTAAATTTGAGGAAAACAATGCCTAACTAATAACTGGGTATTTTGTCTGCAATGTTGGTTGGCCATGTGAGTATTCTTTTGCATCAGTGGGGTGAAATTCAGCTTTGTCAGTGCATCAGAACAAGATCTGTGCAACAGTAGACTCTAGAAGGAAATCTTGGAGGCTATGAGTATTGCATGGAATTTGGAATAGCCTGCACAACATGGTGCAGTTCTCAGGACCATGTGTAAATACAGTCTTCAAAACTGTGAGAAAATGTAAAAATGAGAATGACAGAATTGTGGGATGCAAGTTACAGCTGCTTGTAAATGGATTGCTTTAGAGTTTGTTCAAAACTTTCAGTTAAAAAAATGTTAATTGAGTTCTAGATACAGTTAGAGAATTCAAAATGATAGTGCTCTGAAGGCATTTTTCTACTGGTGCTTTGTCCTTCTGTGCTGTCTCAGCAGCTTAGTACCATGTGAATTCTTGGGTTTTATCACAGAACTGTAGAACAGCCCAAGTCGGAAGGGACCTCAGAAGATCCCTCTAGTCCACCCTTTTGTGGGAAAGGGAGTCTAGATTACTTAGCACCCTGAGATTACCTAGCACCACAGCACATTGTTGATGTTTGCTCTGCTGTTTCTTCTGGCTGCATTTTGTTCCTTTCAGGAAAAGCTGTTATTTAAAAGGCAGACCATGGTAATTACTTTGGAGTGAAAGCACACGCAACCAAACTGTAGAACAGGGTGGTTGCTGGGTCCCAGTTCATGTGCAAGACAGGCCCATGGAAGTCCTTTCATGGACTTTTATGGTTAAAATAAGCAATTTTCTGATGGAAGAAATCTAGGAGAAGCTACTGCTCAGAAAGGTAACAGTTGTCACCTTTATTTTTCGTGTCAGGACTGAGGGGGTACCTTGGAGCTACAAAGGCAACAAAGAAATTATCAGTCAATTGATTCATAGGAGCTGGAGAGAAGAGACAGCTTGAAATAAATAAGAGAGGCTTGATCTGGTGCTGACGCCATTTTATATGTTGTATGCAAATACTTACTCTGGCTAGATATCTGGGAACTAGTTTGACCCATTTCTGTCTGTGTTTGGTGCCTTTTCAGTGTTTCTGTATCTTTTCTCACTAACATCCTGATCTTAAAGCCTGTTCCATGTGGGTGGATTCCCACAAGAGCTGTCATTTGCTGGCATAGCACACCTGTGCAGATACATTTTACTGCTCAAGTTACTAATGCATTTGATGCTTGGAAATCATAGATAAGGGAGTTAATCATTAAGAAGTTAAGTGTCTTAACTTCTTTCATTACCAATGCAGTGAATCAAATCCAATTATATGGTGAGTATACTGATATGCTTATAGAGTAATAATGTGTTGACTTTGTGTACTCAGGTGATTTAATCTTAGTAAAATCTCAGTTTAACTCTTATATCCTGTTCATCTTACAGCAAAAAAATTGCCCAAAAATGAACCACAGAACGCAGGAGCCAGCTCTGCCAGAGGAAGAGGAGTAGACCTTACTGAACCCACACAACCACCCAAGAGTCAATGTTGTAGTAACTAAAAGATCAATTGCTTTAAACTGTTCTGAATATTCTTCTGCTTCCTAACTGTTAATAACCATGGAATTGGAGTGCTTAACCTGGTCCAGTACAGCTTCCCAACAGCGAAGAGACTTATGATAATAGTCAAGTTCATGATACAGAGTTTTCTTTTGATGTAAAATTTTAACATGCATGTATCCACCACTGGCTATAATGTTTCAGCAGTAGAGGAGAGATGGAAGGGACATAAACTTCCTTCAGTTGAAAGGTTTTAAAAATCAGTTATTATTAGGGGTGTAGAAGAACTGCTCTCTGTGGACCTAATTGGCCAGTTCCTGTAGCCTCAATACTGATCACTGTTATAATAAATAGAATTGGGTCTTTTCATAATTCTCAATTGTGCTTTAAAGCCTTTTTAGAAACAGGGTCTAAAAATTACTTAAACTTCTCTGAAGTATTGATGCAACCAGTTGTTTCTGCAGGTATCCACTATTTAGTTATACATTCCATAGTTTAATAATTTAATTACAAATAATACTTGCATTAACAATTTTAAGAATCCTTTGCTTGCCAGACAGTGGAGTTTTAGTTGGTACACTGTATGTAAATGATATCAACCCAGTTAGTTATCTTAATGAATTAGTGATGAATCAAGTTTAACTTAATTTCTAATCTTTTCAGAGGGTACAGACCAGTAAATTCAATTCTATGACTTAGGATATGTTTGGTTTTTTTCCTCTACAAACTGTAAGAGCTCTTCAAGTAAAACCACAACAAACTCGGTGTCTGTGACTTTTCTTGTTTCTGATCATTGCTGGCCATTACAGTTTGTTTTTCCCCTAAGGAAAAAAATAGTGCACTAACAATTATGTACATCCAACTTGATTTTAAATTTGGATATTAATGTACTGTAAATAGGTACTCTGCATTGTAGTCTACATTTGTTTAATACTTTCTGTAATATTTAAGAGTTGCTTAAAGGTATACAGAATGTACAGTTACTTAAAGCTAACTTTTTTCCTCTCTAATCAAAGGAGGTTCTGAGTTCTTCCTTTATGGCTAGAACAGTAATAAATGATGCTCCTGTATCTGTAACATAAGTACTGCTGTCTGTCAGTAATGAACTTTGCAACTTTGTTTTCCAAAGTACATTTTATTTTGATCAGTCCAGTATATTGCACTAATTCTTTTAGTTATTTTCATTATATGAAATCTACAAAGTGTGTCAGAAGAGATGAATTAGTCTATTTAAATGTTGAACTGATAGAAACTTACTTGTGCAGATTTAAAATTTGCAGTAATCTGGGTTTAGCAAGGAAAATGACAGTTCACCAGTGTTTAGTTTTATATTGAGGTGCTCAGGTTTGAATAAAGTGGTTTAAAAAAATTTTGATTACTGTTTCTTATTGAGAGTTTCAGATGGTTTTATTGCATTTGTACAGTTCCAGACAAGATGTCTGATTTACTGAATGGGTCAGCATTTAAGATGATTACAAGTAAATTCATGACACAGCTAAATATAAGCCTGTCTTATATATACTCTGGCACTTCAGCTATCCTATGGTAAATTTTTAAATGTTGAGGTAATTGTGTATCTTATCACATCTATATAGAAATACAATCAAAATAGTAATATTATCTCTTCAACCTGAAGCTAATGCAGTCTTTGCCAGTTTTTCCCTAATGTAGCTTGTTGCATTGTTGTAGTGTCTCAGAGCTGTCTGTGCCTCTTCCTGCAGCTGATGATTTGCAATTGGATGGGTGCATTTTTGTGTCTTTTTCAAACTGGTGGTGGTTTAGAACCCACTGGTTATACAGACTTCAGCAGGTCTTGACCAGCATCACTTGCAGTTTGTCACAAAATACACTGAAGTCCATTTTTTCTGCCAGCTGTGGGCTTGAGTCACAATTAGCTGGCACGTTTTTCTATCTTTTGGGGTCTGTTTCATGACTTTAGACCCTCTTGCCACTGCATTCTTTTGCAGATGTTTATGGCTGAGTTGGACCTGTTGCACGGAAGGCAACAGTTTCTTCTTGCTCTGAAGTCTGTCACTGTGAATGAAAACTCATACATGAAATTTTCTGTCCTCAAACTGATTTCTTCAAAACTACCTTGTATGCTAGAATTGGAGTGGTTTCTCTCTGTTCTTTGAATTTATTTGATTGTTACTGAAAAGAGACAGCTCTGAATTAGCTTGTGTTTTGTGTTTTTTGTTTGGTTGGTTTTTGTGGGGGTTTTTGTGGTTTTTTTTTTTTTTGGTTTGGGGTTTTTTTGTTTGTTTTTTTTTGGTTGGTTGGGGTTTTTTTGTTTTTAGGGGGTGGTTTTTTTGCTTTTTTGGGGTTTTTTTGTTGGTTCATTTGGTTTGGGGTTTTTTTTGTTGTCAGTTTCCTTAGGAACTCCATCTTTGTGTGTAGTTCCTCCTAGAACATTTTCATTTATTTTGTTTCAGATTGCCTTTTGAGTCACTGTGAAAAATATCTTTATTAGAATATCTGTATTCCATCTTGCAGATTATTAATAGCATTTGAGTCATTTAGGTTGTCTTCAGTGAGGGACATTGAATACTGACACACAGAGAAGTCCTGTTTTGTTGAACACCGTTCATGCATTCTCAAATAAGGAGTGAATGTTGTTAGAGGTGGTGCCAGTACTTCATTGTAATACAAAACCTCCCAAAACGCTTTAGAAGCCAAAATAAGAAACTGATAGGTACAGATATAATATGAGTTACAGGTATAACAGATGTTCTTTTTGTTGCATCTCTGTGATGTCCAGGAACCCTTGTAGTTCTCAGGTATCCCTCTACTAATCCATCTGGTGTATTAGTGCTGGTGTTTCCACGGTTCTGAAGTGTTTTCTCTCATGAGTGCTGTGCTCTTTTGAGAGGCAGTGACTCCTTCCATTTTTACATAAGATTGCATATACATCATCTAAAACTGAAATACTTTTAATATAGCATACTGTTGGGTTTTCTTAAGATACTGCTGTTACAGTAACAGTCTTTTGTTAAGGACTGGGAAAAAAACCTGAGATCATAGTTGAGTAATCTACTGCCACAGGCAACAATATGTCCATCAGTGAATTTGGTTCTGTTTTACAGCAAAGTTTTCTGTGATTTTTTTATATTCCATTATTAGAAGACTGTTTCAGAATCTTATTCTCCTGACTGCAGATAAACTCTTATGAGGAGTCTTAAGTGATGTTTTATTCAGCTTAAAGTGCAGTCTGATAGAAAAGTTGCACCTTGATTGGTTTTTGAGCAAGAGTGCGTATTTTTTTCAAATATTTTCTTTTCACTCCTATGAGAGTGTGTGCTTTCAAAATATTATGGCTGAATGAACTCATCAGGAAGCTCCAGGTTCAGACTGTTTCTAGCAGCATATAATTTTAGTACTGAAAAATAATTTGGATATGGTGTAGGATTTAGTTTACTAACATGATGCCTTACATCTCTTCCTTGGTTAAAGTACCCAAGGGAGCAAGAGTTCTAGCAGTCATCATAGGAAGATGAGGTCTGACTTCTTTCCTTTAGCAGGCATAGGTATTTTACCTTTCCCTCAACACTCCTGAAATCTGAGAATTTAAAGTGTTAGAAATTGCAACACTGCAGGGGGCAGGTCTTGTCAGACTTGAATGAAGAGCATGAAGGAAAGAGCTCCAACCCAAAGTGCTGTATTATTTGAGATCCTCTATGGCTGCCCTGGGAGACCATTTTTGATGTCAGAGGAGGTTATTGGTCTGCTCTCATGTGTTGGCTTAAGGGCAAAAGTGATGTCTTACAGAAAGAACTTGAGTGAGATATGTGGTACCTTTCTAGACATGAAGCTGGCTGCAGTGTGTTCATTTATATTGTACTTTTAATATCTACCTAGACTAGGGGCACAGACCTCTGAAAAGTGTGTATAAGTAGGCATTGCTTATACAATAGTAGTGTTCCTTGAGCAGTATTGGCAGTCTAGCGTAGGAGACAGCTAAGTGTAGTCTGTGTGAAGGCAGATTTCTCTTGAAGGTGATTCAGAATATCAAACTGAAGGACACACCTTTAATTAATTATACAATGTAGATACCTTAAGTTGTGCTCCATGAATGTTTCCTTGTGCTTGCTCCCCTCTCCTTCCTCTGATTTCTGTGGAGAGCTAGAAAAATGTGTAAAATATCCTTTGAACCCTTGGAATAAGACCACCAGCTGTAAGCCTAACAAAGAGCGTAATATAACCTATGTGGAACAATTTGACTGCAAAGAGTAAAATCTAGTTGCTTTTGGATGCAAGTCTTGTCAGCAAACCAGAGGCAGCAAAAGAATCAACAAAACCTAACTGGCCTATCAGTGTGGGACTAAATGAAGACAGAGCTGGCCAATGTCACCCTCTCCCGCTCTGTGTATCTGACTGTCCTCTTCAGTTGCTTACCTGGAGCTGAAGGATCATGTCTCTACTTATGTAAGAACACACTCTTGGGGGGGAAATGAAGGTCGATGTTGTGCAGATCTTTTTCTGTGGTATGTTTGGTGGAAAATTAAGTGTGTTAAATTAATGTGGTTCAAAAATGTGTATTCATAAAAGGTTGAAGTTGATCAGAGATACTTTAAAACCTTAATTCATTATCAGATCTTGAGTTTATGGTATCTGTAATTGCAGCCAGCAATTAAATTCTCAGGTAGGGATGGATGGAAGCAGGTAACAAAACCAAGAAGAAATTTGGTAGAGAATTCACCCAACCCAAGTTGTTATCTTCATCAATCTCTTTGGAATATAAAGTGGCTTTCTTTCACAACAAGGTGGATACAAATGCATCTGGAAACAACCTTGCAGTCTTAATGTGAGTTAATTCTGTATTCTGCTACAGGGCTGTGACTGCATTTCCTGAAAGTAATAGAGCTAGGGCTAAACTACCAGTTTTGATACCAGTAACAGTGAAGTTCATATAGTTGCAAAAAGCCTGTTGGAGGTACAGTGCAGCTATAGTAACAAGCATTGGGAGAATAGTGTGGGGGGGGGGGATGTACCACATACAACACACTAGTTGCATGTTCAAGTTGGTTTACAGTGTTTCTCAGACTGCCAGAGGAATGCAATTACTGTTAAGCAGAAGTATTTTTTTTATATATGGAATTAGTTTTTCCAGATGTGGAATATGATAATTTTTTTTGCCTCCTAAAAACAATGAAGCCTCTCAAATGGTTCTCCCTTTTCTTATTGATCTTTGACCTTCTTGATTAATTTCAGTCAACTTTCATATGCAGAAACAGTTGCAGTATCTGCTCACTCCTTACTAATGCCAGGCAGAGTGATAGAAAAGTAGTATAGAGCTGGGCAAGTGCTTCAAGCAGAGACTGGAAGACACTACAGAATGTAACTGTAGACACAAATCCATTTGAAACTATTCACCCACCTGCTTTTTTACATAATTCTGCATGTGCACTCCTTTATGGGAAAGCAAGCATCTTGCCTGTAATCTTACAGCTGTCTTATGACCACAACAGGATATAATTGGTAATAAAAATCACCAGGTGGGAAAGATACAGTAACCAGAGTTGCTAGTCTGCAAGAGCTTTGTCTAGTGTTCTCTGCAGAAGGGTGGGTGGAGAAGCATTAAGGATGTATCAGTGTTTCTGATTGTAATTGATAACTGATTTTCTATACTAAAGAAAGGCAAAGCAGTGTCCTACTTTATAAGAAAACATGTCTGAATAGATCTTCCATAACAACAGTAAAAGCCAACCAATCCCTGTTTCATTCAGAAACTAGTAATTCAGATGATTCCCACAAAATAGGTTTTCAGTTTGCTTGTAGCAAAATGTGGTGGCACTTAGTCCAATGAAACAAATTAATAAAAAGAATATCTTAAGCGTGTTTCATTGATATTAGGAATTTATCAGATCTAAAATCAGAAGATTTGTGATTGACTGCCATAAAGTGATGACAGCCTAAACCCCTTGATACAAAAAAACCCCACTCTATATTTTCTTACAGAAGTCACTTGTGTATTGTGGAATGCTTCCTAACTTTTACATTAGTAAATTGATTTTGCTGCCTTAATTCAAATATCATGCTTAGGCAACTTGTCTAATAAGCTGAATACTATTGTCTGATAGCAGTATCAGTTGCAAGGGAATTTATCACATCTGCTTTACATTGTCAGGCTAAAGGAATTGCTGCTTTTTATCTCCAGACACTGACTGCCAACAAACATCTAGGTTAGCTAATACTTTCTTTTATTGCATGAAGGGAAAAAAATTCTGGTGTGTTATGTACATACCTATAAATAGCAAAGTACAGCGGTCCAGCAGCACCTTTGGCCCTTCTGCCTAATGGACTGTGTGTGTTATTTTCAGAATGTTTTCTTTCTTCTACCTCAGTGCCATCTGTCTCTTTGCTGGGAATGCTTTCCACCAAACAGGTAACCACTGAACAGCCACTCCAGTGAGATTTGGAAACCTGATTTTTTCCCAGTTGTAAAAATCTCTGCATTCTCCTAGAAGACTTGCCATACACTTTGTGAATCCATTTGTAGGGACTGATCTTTTTGGTCTCCTCATTGCCTGGCTTGTCAGAGAATATCTTCTCTTTTTCCCTGTAATCTGCCTTGATTACTGTGGAAAAAAAAATCTACAATTTGCACTTTGTCCTTATTTTTGTAGGAGGAACCTATTTGAGAAAGCTGATCAAGAAATAAAAGTGGAAGCTCTGCTGCAACTGTTTCTGCAGCTGTCACACTGTGACAGCCATCAAGAATTTCCAAAAAAACATCTATCTGACCTATTTCCATAGTTGTCTGGTGCAATAAACCTATCTTTAAGTCTGCTTGCCACGTGGGATTTTAATCTTTGCGAATTGATAAAGCTTTTATTAAAGAATTATTTACTTTCTTAAAAGGACCAGGATTGTTGATATTAGCAAAATCACAATATTAAGTGGGAGTGGAATTTAAATGAATAATCTTCTGCTTATTTGTGTCAGAAAATTTAGGAATCTAGAATTTAGGTACTGTAAAGACTTCATAGGGTCTAATCAGCACAAGCCTCTGGCCCGTTCTCTGGCCAAACTCGTATGTTTTTCCTGTCTCTATGCACCTCTGTTTTTTTTTTAAATTTAAGCTCCTTGCTCCAGTCTCCCTCATCAGCTCAGTCTCCTTCACCTCACTCTACATCTTTGATGCTGTCTCACTATTCCTAGGTCTGGCACCTGGCACTACAACCCCAGGAGTCAGAGCTATAAGAGTAACTCCTAGTGAGGTACTTCCTGATAGAGGCCAACTGGTGCAGAGGGGACTGTCCAAATTCAGCACCTGCACACTGGCATCACTGGCATGTCTCTACTTGGCAAACTGATGCTGCTTTTTAAGTATTTTAACTTATTCTGATTTGGCTAAATTGATAAGAGTGACAAAAGATGCACTGCTGATGCCATTTCAGCCAAATTGCCAATCTGTAGTTTAAAACCTGATGATCTTGGACATTCTCTAGAAAATAATCAAGATTTTGGTTTCATGCATGCAGAACAACGTATTTTCCAAATCATATTCTCAGAAACAGCTGAACCATATTATCTAGGATTTTTTCAAATTATTCTGCTTCAGGCTTGGAAAATTCTAATATGAGCTGCTTCTTCCATTATATGGTCTCACTCTAAATCAGCATGTGACATACATGTACAGACACCATAACAACACAAAGTCCTGACACCATGTGAGCAGCTCAGCTTGCCAGCCTATATATCATCTGTCTACTAAGTATGAAAACATAGTGTTTACATTCAAGTTGATTAAGTTTATTTTTTAGGATTAAGTATTTATGTGTGTATATATGAGAAATATCAGACAAAAATCCATAGGTTTTTGTATTCTCTCATCTGAGATTGTTGTTTTAGTTAATCTTTGTTAACTGCTGTTAATCCATTGCCACGGCAAATAACAGTAGTTTAGCAGCACAAATATGTCACAGCCATGTTACAAGAGCAGCCTTTGGTAATTTCATCTTACTTTAACCTCATCCATTTACTGGGGTTCTCTCTTTGCACTTGAAACAGCCACACCTGAATAACTATTTTGCAGCTGTTGTCTCTTCCAGGATTTCAGCTAGGAAGTACATTTTCCTCTGTCTCACTAATTCTGTTCATTGCTGTAAGCATTTCTGCAGTTTGTGTTTCAACATGTGCACTCTTTCCTGTGATGACATTTGTTTGATAAAATTTCATGGTAGTCAAAGCCCCAACCTCCTCCAACACCTCCTCCAACATCTTAAAGAATCAAGTGCCTCTGATCAGTGGAGGTAGATCAATTATAACATTTTAAAAGGAAAATCTCTTCTGTAGAGGGTGAATAGTATTAGCAGAGCCACTTAAAAGCCCCTCATGACTGCAGTATACTTTTCCTTGCAGAGGTGGCTTGCTGGTGGCTATGGCTCTCAGTCTGCTGTAGGACAACTTTATGGGAAAGTCTATCTCTCAACAAGAGGTGAGCATCAGCCTCCTCTAAAAGTGCTGCACCATTTCAGCAGGACAAGATAAGGAGGGACATGGTTAAAACACCAGCAGAAGATAGGCTTGTGCAGAACTTTTTCCTTTATTCTGCATAGTTTGAATTTGAGACTGGGAGACAGCAAAAGCCTTTTCACGCTGTCATTATGATGATTCAGGCCTGAGAAAAATTAGGACTAATATATAGAGAAAGTCCGGTAAGCTGTTTTTTTGTCTTTTAAATGTGATTCCATTTTACATTTAGTGTATATAACACCCCTTTGGATTAGACAGAGCAAAATGATAGTTTGACCTTAGTAAACTTAATTCTTAACACTCCCACACATTTTATAGATGTTTATATCTCTGTAAATGGTGTAAGTGCTAGCAAATCACAAATTTCAAAGCACCAAAACAGTCTCAGTTAATTACAATGTAAATAACCAGGATAATATACATAATAATTCATGTAACAAGATATGCTACGAGTCTTCAGTTGTAATAAATCTGCTTATAATTATTAAAAGGGCAACCTCGATACTTTTTTATACTATGCATAAATTGCTTATGTTAATAGCTGAAAACCTTGTAAAAATAGAATAAAAAACAAAACATTTCCTTTGTTGATCTCTTATGAAGTAAAAAGATTAATCTGTGTTTCCTTCTCTCCTTGCATTTCCCTCATTAGGAACAGATACAGACTCAGAGGTTTTTTGCTGTCAGGTTAAAGGATAACAGTGAGTTACTGAAAGCACAATACATGAAGCTAAAGTGTTCTAGCCTCAGAGAGTGAAAGATAAAATTCAGCTTTCTAGCTCACTGCAGTTTCCCTGTGCCTATTTAGGGAGCCAAAATCCAACACAGTTTAATGTTCTGAGGTGAAAATAGAAGCAGATTAAAAGAAATTACATATAGAAGAATGGGGAGCAAACCACAGTTTGAGACTACATATTTTCAAGGGCAAAAAATTGTATTTACTCTTTTTGTCGTAACAAAGAGCCTCTTGGTCAGTGCTTAATCCTGCTACTCAGAAAGGAAGGCTGCTCCACCTCTGTCATACATTGGCCTGTCTATAACAGGGGCAGAATGGAAGTAGAGCACGAGGCTTACATGGCTGAGGATACGGTTGTCCCAGTAAATCTCATATTTCTGGAAAACCTTTCTAACTACGACACTTGGAGCTGCTTGCTGTTAATATGGTAAGGCAAGATTATTTTCTGCTTCTGCAGTTTGGCACTACAGTCTCATGTTTTAATTAGTGAAGATGGAATATGTCCCTGAGCTTTGAGGATCCAGGATCTGATTTGTATCCAAACAGAAGAGTCCCATATGCAGTTATCTCTCTCTTAACACATCATTCCTATCTCCACCCACAGAGTCCTTCTTCCTCACCTTTGGCACCATCAGAACTTAACTTGCCCAATCTCTAGTTGTGAACTCCTTCCTCTGTGAGTTTTGTGGGTTTTATTATTTGTTACATATCTGTGGTCTTAGAAAATGGTGCCTCTTATTGATGCTGAAACCAGCACTGGAAAGATGCCTGCCTGCCAGCCTGCCTGTGGGTGACAGGAAGAGGCAGAGAAGGGCTGTGTGACATAAATGGAGGTCAAAGTCTCCCGAGTTTCTAATCACAGTATTATCAACTAGTATGTATAAACAGGCCTCACTGCTGCAAATCCCTGCTGAATGAGCATCAGCTTCTTTGCCTGTCTTTTCCTTCTTCCCTGCTTTACTTCTTGCTCATGCCTCAGCCAGCGCTTCCTTTTCAGTCCTGTTTTCCCCATGTGCCTGTGATGCTAGGATATGGGTTCATTGCCTCCAGGTGTTCAGCCCAATTCCTCTCCTCTTACTGACCTCCCTTCCCTCTGCCCTGTCACACAATTTGGCAGTGGCACCTCCCCGGAAAACTGTTTGCAAAAGCATCACACCCACTTACAGAAACCATGACAGGGACTCCTAGCGTTGCCAGGACTGTCTGTCCCTGAGCTGCAGCACACCTGACACCATCAGCGCCTGCCAAGGAGCCACTGTGCAAGGCGGTAGCATTTGCCTGGTGCAGCTTGGCTGTGCTGTGCAGTGCGTGCCCGGCGGCACAGTCAGAGCCAGCCTCTGCTGTGCAGGTGCTGCCTTAGCAGGTCCCAGCTTTACATGGATACCTTTGGCTGAAGCAGCAAAGAGCAAATATCTTATGTGAAAACCCTTATGTAGCCTTTCTTAAACTCATATAAGACCTCTGAAAAACTCTTCACCTGAAAAGATGAACTCACTTGCTAACTCAGCAGCTATGCCCTACACCTTTCACTACTTTTAGAAGACCTGGCCCTCTTGTTCTCTAAAACCATCTGCAGGGAATGGTGCAGAAGGAACAAGACATCTTCTCCCAAGTGAGTCAACTTAGGTATGCATAGTATAGCCTACTTACTGCATCCCCAGAAGCAACAATGCAGTTTCAAGAAAATCTAGTTATGAAAGGTGTGGGAAGAGATAAAGACTAACCTGGTGAGTCACGGGTGCATGCCACGGGCAGAGCCTGCATTCAGGACTTGGGAACAGTCCTGCTTCTAGACCTGATGATAGGCAAGAAAGAAGGAAGTGATTAATAATTAAAATAATTACGGAATAAATTAAGATAATTAGTCTCCTTACTTATCTTCCTAAGTGTTGTCCAAAACTATAATCTTGGGATTCCAGGCCCACTGGTTTTGTGTCATCCTATAAAATAAGAGTCCTCATCATTAGGTCTTCTTGGACAAGAGTTATAATTTGTGATGCTGTCTGCTTGGGCAGAGATGCAGCTTCTCAGCTGGGAGGAAGCATCAAACTGGGAAATGGGAGTAGCAAAACAATTGCAAACCTAGTTCTGTTTACACTCCAGATATTTAGCAGCTCTTCCTTGTAGATGGGTTAGTCTTGGTGGGGCAAATGCCTGTATTAGGCAGAGAGGCAGTGAAGCATTGAGTGGGTATGACAAGCCTGATGGCCTTGCCATGGGAGGGGAGGTACATGAGATACTCGAAGAGAAAGCTGTGGCAGAAAGTGGAACATGGGTGAAGACAATGTAACTGTGCCTTCTGCATTCCCAGTGACATCCTGTCTCCCTCACCTCACAAACCCACATCTGGGGTTGCTGCCGTATTCCTGGGGTTCCTCTATTTTTTTCAGCTGTACACTGCACTATTACAGTTGATCTAAATGGAGATTTTTAACCTGTTTAATTCTGCTTGGCCAAGCTGTGGTGCTTGAGGTTGTGTTCCTAGTTCCTAGGGTTTCCAGTGCCCTTGCACACTGATATGGGGAAGGCCCATGACTGGGTTTGCACAGTTAGATGTTCTTAGGCCACGGCAACTTCATCTTATAGAAATAATAGGAATTTTCTATGCAGTGTTGTTATCTAAATTGGTATCATATTAAGGGTGCTGGCTGGCAGCTACTCGGGTGCAGGTAGCAAAAAGGAGGTCCCTTCCCTCTCACCTCTGCCACCAGAGCCTGTGCCAGTCTCCTGGTGGTCTGTCAGGCTTCCAGCAGCAAATGACCTGCCCTACATGGGAATGGGGTGGTTTGCAAAACTGTCAGAGCACAGGCAGTCAAAGTATGCCAAGTGGGGTCCCAGAGAATTGTGGAGATCTCTACCACAAATAAAGAAGAAGGAAGAACAGAAAAGTATGTTAGAGAAAGGAATCAACAAAAGAATTGTGGGGAGTCAGAGGAAAGAGGAGGTAAGGAAAAAATAGGTAGTATATCCCATGTTTGTATGAAGCAATCCAGAGCTCTCAGTACCACAAAATAACAGTGTCAGCCTATGTAGTGACTGCTGATAGCTAAATAACTTTAACAAACAGCTTCTGAACTTGACATGCACAATTTACGTTGAGCAAAGGCACAAGTGACTGTCCTGTGCTGCATGATTCCAGCCTTCAGTTTTCTCACCTGCCTTGTGCTAAACCGAAACTCTGACTGCAGTCAAGAAGAGCATCTTCTGTGTAAGAAGCATATAAAAACTGCTAAGTCTCCATTACTAACAAGAAGTTTGTGTGACTGAAACAGCCCTGAGTGTTGCAATGACATTTTTTCCATTTATTTTTCCTCTTTTTTTTCCTTTAAAAACTGGGTAATTGGGGTGTGAAGTTTCCTATAACAGACAAAAGCCTAATGGGAAGGTCTGCCATCTGCATTATTAAAGTCACATGTTAGCGCCATGGGAAGCACTGTTAATACTACCAGTGATTCATAAGACATTGATAGCAGTCCTGAACGTGTGGTGCCCAAGAGGGAGGTCACTTCACCCATAAGGAATGCGCTAATGAAAGGACACAATAGGATTTTATTCTCACAGAAATTCCCCGGAGGAGAAAGAGCTACACTTTGCATTGAATGGCAAGAGTAAAAACAGGTGGGAGCAGTAGAAGAGAGACACATCTTGAATAAAAAGAGGGAGACAAGGCTGGGTTGGGCACACCAGATCTGACCAGGCTGAGAGGCAGGGATGAGGGGTAGAGGTGGGCTCCCAGAGCTCGGCTGTGGGCTGGGTGGTCCCTGTCAGAGAGGTAGAATTTAGGCTGCTATTAGTTGAGTAATTTTTTTTATATATATGAGCAAGATAGGCCACAAAAGCCCTAAATGACAACTAGGTAATAACCAGGAGTCTGGTACACCCTAAACGGCATTTTAATTTCTCTTTTGTGACTCAAGAATGCAACCTTTGATGGAATAATAATAACACACATACTCTTGCATTTAAGCCTGTCAGGTGTTCACAGGGAATTTGTGCAGGAGCAACAAACATGAGATGCACCCGTGATCTGCTGGGAGCAAGAGCTCTGAGCAGGCACCTCCTCAGGGTGATCAGCAACCTGAGAGAGACCTGAAACCCACAAGAGCTGGGGCTCGTGTCTCCCCCAGCTCCTGGTTTACCTAATTTGATGTAGATGAGTTGTCTTCCTGAGGTCACCTGGCTACTCACCTGAGTTTGCGGGCTGAGCAACACAGGCAGGCCAAAGGCAGCCAGGATCACCCACTCCCACCAGGACTTCCTAATGCGGGTTTCAGAGTCAGCTCGACTTGTGCAAACCCACGGATATGCCCCAAAGGATAAAAAGTGAAAAAGATGGCAAGGGCTTTTCAGACAATGCTCTGAGTTTTAATCTAATTTAATATCTGCATAGTGCCTGTTAAATGATAAAAAGCAAGCAACAAAGGGATTGTGTGGTGCTCAGATTTATGCACGTATTATAATTAGAAAATTAGTATGTGCTCTGCTTGTGAATTCAGCCAACAGAAAAAGCCAGCTTGGATATGCAATCAACAATGACATGTGTCTACTCATATATCAAAGCATAGGCTTTTTTGTTTGTTTGTTGTTTTGGTTTTTTTTCCTATTGTAGTGCAACCTGTTGTGACCTAATTGCATTCACTGGAGCCACCACAAGTCAACGTAACCCAAGTTATAGTCCCACATTTCCAGACAGCAAATGGTCTTTTCACTCCTTTTTCTTGCTAAAATTGTGAATGCAACATTTTAGCTTTCACTGGAGTAGTTTAAGACAAAGTCAAGCTTTTTTTCTTTTTGGTTTTAAAAATATATTTGCACAAAGTTAGAATGTGAGCAATGATTTAAATCAGGTTTAAAGTTAAAAAAAAAAAGAAAAATACTTACCTATATGCAGCTAAAGAGTGATTTCTTTCTAAGCTGCTCCTAGCAGGCAGCAGTTCTGCATGTGTAGTGACATTAGTGTTTATAAATGTTACTATAGTAACTGTATGTGTAGTCACAGACTGGTAGACTTACTGTTCTGGTTATCTGGTGAGCTACAAGGTATAATGGAAAAAAAAGAGACACAGCCATGCTCTGGAGGATTCAAGAAGGAACTGAAGTAAAAGTATTTTTTTGCCTTTATACCAACCAGTGGCTTACTGTATGCATTACAGCAGTGTTTTTCCCATTAGACCCTCATAAACACACCATAAAATGTAAAGAAACATTCAGGCATTTAAACCAAAGTCAGTATCTGCTTCCTAACAACTTTCATATTTACTTCTACTTTAATGGAAGCAATAAGTTTTCAGGCTTTTAAGGACCCTGAAGAATGAATGAGGTGAAAGAATAAGGTTATTCACCTATGTAGCTTCAGACATAAATGCCTGCAAGTTGCCTTAATGAACATAAGTGAAGTTACTCACCTGTGTGAAAACAGTAAAGGTATTTTCAGCATCAAAATTTATAATTTATTATATGCAAGTGTGCAAACTTAGTGCTGGGTTAAATATCATTAATTAACTGGTTAAAGGAGAAGCTGATAATTTTGGGGGGAAAACAAACAAACAAACAAAAAACGTCCGAGGGGATTTAAAGGCTACAGCAGCTCCCAGAAAAACCAGGAGTGTATGTTCAGGCGTGGGCATTAAGTGGTCCATCGGAGCCAGAGTGTTGTTACAGATGCGCTCTTCGCTCATAACATTTGCTGCCGAGGAGGAGTCGTGGGAAAGCTGAAAGTGAAACTAAGCAGAACAGTTTCATTTTCAACTCCGAAAGTAGAAACCTAAACGGTATAAAAAAAATGCAAAGAACTTCTTAGGTAGCTGCTACCATACAGCGCCTATTTGTTCTTTTAAAATATGATTCGGACACTTAAAAAAATTACAAGGATAATTCTTAAATTTCAGAAAAACTGGATTTTTTTAATCACGTTTGATTTGCTGTCAAGCTTGGGGCAGTAACCGCCAAGGGCAGCGGCTCCTCCACCTTAAACAGTCCGTCTTAAAGCAGCGGGGATGGCAGCAGCCATCT